TGGAAAAAAAACACAAGCCAATGGAATACAAGACACAGCCAATGGTATACAAGACACAGCCAATGGTATACAAGACACAGCCATTGGTATACAAGACACAGCCAATGGTATACAAGACACAGCCAATGGTATAAAAGACACAGCCAATGGTATAAAAGACACAGCCAATGGTATAAAAGACACAGCCAATGGTATAAAAGACACAGCCAATGGTATATAAGACAAAACCAATGAAATACAAGACACAGCCAATGGAATACAAGACACAGCCAATGGAACACAAGACACAGCCAATGAAACACAAGACACAGCCAATGGAACACAAGACACAGCCAAAGGAACACAAGACACAGCCAAGGGGACACAAGTAAGTAAAATGAAAGCATTTTGGGGGGACATGTCTGTGTATTTCTTTATGGAATTTTGTATAATATCAACAAAGAGTAAAAGATTCCAAGGGAAAAACAGGTATTCTGAGAAAGATTTTCTTATCACAGAGTTCAAAACTGAACCCCAGCCAGACATGGAAAACACTAAATGTAATTATGTATTTATTAGAAAATCAATTTCAGTGCTGCCTGTGAACATGCTGACAGGAGGGGATAGCAGACTGATGACTTAGGGCCGGTGCACACCTAGGCGACACCTCACCGCCCGGCAATCATGTACGATTATGCGCGGATTGCCGTGCGGTCAGGAGTCGCCAGGATGTGAACCGATCGCGCTGTGGGTGCCATTATTTTCTAATGGCACCTCTGTCGCGCCGGGCGGATCGTGCAGTTTCCCGCTGCGATTCTCCTTCCGAACATGATTGTGGCTAAGACAGCCGTGTGTCGTGTATCGCTAAAAAAAAGGTACATGTACCTTTTTTCTGCGATTGCCGCAAGGATGTCACCCCATTGAATTCAATAGGGGTGGGCAGCAATCGCTGCCTGCATTGTGCAGGACTGCGCGATCCCGGATCGCGGAGGTCTGCACCGGGCCTTAAAAACTGTGCTGCTGCTCTATAATTGTCCAGACATCGGCTAAGGCAGGCCCATTGACCAGGGTGTTTTGTATAAAGGAGTTGTAAAGTCCCAGCATATCCTCTCCTGTTATAACATCAGCATTGTAATAGGAATACATACTGGAGTTGTCTCTGGGAAGCTTACTGGGAAAAATCCCTTTCATGTAGTGAGCGCTGCCTTTCGTCTGTCCATTACTTTCACCAACTTCCTGGATTCCCAGTGTGCTTTGTGTCTCTTTCCCTGCTGCTTCATGTGATGCAATCTCCATTTCTCAAGATTACATATCCCATCATGCATTGCTTCCAGCAAGTAATGATAATGTAACCATGTTCAGAGTTGTGGTTCAGAAGGCAGGCTCTGTGAATGGTGATACATATTCACAGGGCTGAGTGAAATGGTGTCAGTACATCCTATGAGCATCTTCAATAAGTAAGTTTATAAACTGATAGATGGATATAGTTATTGGGAGTGGTATAGAACTTATATGTATAGAAATACGGATTTATTTCTATGTTTTTTTTGTTATAGATACCCAGTAGCGGTGGTATGGTCTGCAACATGGTCCAGTAGCTGGCTGTGCTGGCAGGTGTGTCAAATCACAAAGATGGCTGATAAGTACTGCACATCATTTGGCAAGGTAAGACAGCTCACATATGTGGGCTTTAGCCATCTGCCTGAAGCTCATCCCAAGACCTCCTGCTTTCCAGCTCCCTTGTCAACTCCTCCCATGCTCGCCTCCAGGACTTCTCTAGAGTCTCTCCCATCCTCTGGAATTCTTTACCCCAACCTGTCCGTCTGTCGCTCACCTTGACTGCCTTTAGGCGATCCCTAAAGACTCATCTCTTCAGGGAAGCCTATCCCACCTCAACCTAACCGCTCAACCATCACGTTCTCAAACAATTCATCCCCACACAGCTACCTCCTCATGTATCACTTCCCCCTCCCTTTTAGATTGTAAGCCCTCAGGGGCAGGGCCCTCCTTACCATCTTCTCTTGAATTGTACTGTGATTGTAATGTCTGCCCTATATTGTAAAGCGCTGTGCAAACTGTTGGCGCTATATAAATTCATAATAATAATAAATGTACAGAGAGTCCTCATTTCCATGTGCTTTTTCCTGCCATTATCTTCCATTATCAGTTTTGGGTGGACCGGGTAGGCCGACCCTTTGTCTTTGTCTAGCAGAATAACCCCAACGTGTTTTTCTGCAAACAACATCACAAACCGCTCCGAGAAAGCACAACAACCATGGCGCCAACAGCGCAGGTGCGATCCAGGACAGTCAGGCTCTTATCCAAAACATACATTCCTGTAATCAGCGACAATGGACAGGTACAGATATGTAATTAACTGGAACATTTGTGTTCAGGTCTGCGGCACAGTTTACACGTTTTACGCTTTAATTGACCATAATCTCCTTCCTCTGCTGCTATTGAGGGATAACAGCTTGACTTTCCCCCCAACCGCGTTCAAGCAAACTTTTTATTTTTCTCTTATCAATGATATGAAGCTCCGTAGAACATTTCTTTGCGTTCCGAGATACGTCGGCAGAGCTATATCTAGGGAGCCTGTTGTCAGAGACCACTAGCCGTTCCAACCTTGGACGGCGCTCATCGAGACAGATGCTGCTGACAGCGGACAGCGCTGTGAAGGAATGACATCTGCCACCGGAGTGTCTGCCAAGCGCGGCCTGACCGCGGCCCCAGCAGATTGCGGCTCATTTTGGGAGCTCGGGGAGTCGTGTCGTAATGACAGCAACAGAGACGCACAGAGGAAATTTAATGTGATGATTTCATAAGCCGGCATGCCAGCGCAATTAGAAAGAGACGTGCTCCTATTTCTGTACGCTTGGCTGGCTGATCGTTCGCCAGGCCGCCTGGCAGCAACTGTTCTCCGGGAGGTTTGGGCGCCAGAGGGCGCCAGTGTCTGCTGAGAAATGCTGCAAGTTATTAAGGTTCAGGTGACAAAGATATGTAGTTACAGTTGTCAAAACTAAGCAGATAAACATCTTTATACATCGACTTCTAGCCTGAAGCAGTTGAACAGGGTACAGAAGCCGTGCCCTTAAACATTGCTCCTGTATTATCAACCGCCGATCTGCGCTTCAACCACTTAGGGAAAAGTAACAGGTTCACTTGACAGCTTAGCCCTTCCTTTAGAATAAACAGATACTCAAAAAATGGAGGAAGAAAGAAAAAGAGACATACAATGTCCTGGGAGAGATCCTTCTCAGTAGGGATGCACCGATACCGATACTGCTATCGGTGCCGATACCGAGTTTGTATTTGTGTTTCTCGTACTCGCCCAAATGCTCCGATGCCTAGGCTGGTATCAGGAAGCCGGGCAGCGAGTCACTTGGTGATGAGGGAGCATGGAGCCGGCTTCACGGCCAATCAGGAAGCCAGGCAGCGTGTAATGACTCAACCGCCTAGCTTCCTCATTGGTCGGGAAGCTGGCCAATCAGGTAGCCGGACGGCGAGTCATTACCCGCCCCCTAGCTTTCTGATTAGCCAGAAAGCCAGCTTCATGCTTCCTTGTCAGCTGGTGCAACTTACTTATCCTTAAAGCCTTGGTTCTTAACTGGTGGGTCGTGACCCAAAAGTGGGTCACGAGCCCGTGTTCAGTGGGTTGCCGCATGCCTTCCACTTTTCTAGCGCAGATTTCTCGCCAAGCGGCAATTCAAATTATGCTGCCCGGTGCCAAGTATCAGCTTGAGGTGGGGTGGCCCGGGGGTATGGCCACAAGGGAGCTCCATCCATACGTACATTGCTTACAGCTCCCTCACGTGTTCTGTAGACGTGCCTGGACTGTTACATTCTGGCTCCCGGCACCTCTACAGGGTGCACAAGGGAGCTGTATAAGCAATGCACATATGGATGGAGCTCTGTCACGGCACAGCAGCCCACACTGGACCCAGGCTGAGGATCCACTCCAGTTGTCGTAAGGTAGGGAGACTGGGTGGTTCTTAAAAAAAACACATTTTGGAGTGTGTATGTGTGTGAGAATGTCTGTGAGTGTGTGAGATTGTGTCTGTGGTTGTGTGTGTGTGTCTGTCAGGGTTTTTGAGGGCCCGTTCACACTAGTACAGTACGTTAATCGCCCAGTACCCTGCGATTAATGCACTGCACCATGCAATAGCACCTACCGTACATTCTGGTGTGGGAGGTGTGCTGCGTTGCAATTCATTTGAATGGTACCCCAAACGCACCTCCCACCCACAGTTCATACACCCGCATCAGAACGCGTGGTACCCCAATGCCGTGTGTTCCATTGCAGCGCGACTTTGGTCGCGACTTGGTGACCAAGGAAAAAATGTGGGTCCTGAGGTCACACAGGTTGAGAACCACTGCCTTAAAGGGTCAGTCCAGGGAAATCTCCCCCTTCACCCCACAGATGCAGAGTATTTCTCTTGTGCTCCAGATGTACTCAGCTATGACACGCTGCGGCAGAGGACGACCCGCACACAGGAGTGAATGTTCACATTTCCGCCGTTAAACGCGCAATAAAAAGTATTTTTATTTTTGCAGAAACAATCCTATTTTTTTTTAATATCGCCACAGAGCTCTGCAGCCGATCTATTTACAGCCGTGCTCAGCGGAGTCCTTTACATTTTTATAGAAGAGGCACATTGGAACGGTGCTTAAAATGTAAAGGTTTTACAAGCAGCACTTGTACGCGTTCCAAGCGGCCAGGAAGAAAAAGCGCAGAGCGGTGCCAAAGGGATAAACGGCAATGATCACCCGAAACGTAACGCCGGATGGAGATTACTTACCGATGCAGGACCTGCTGTCCGCATGGAGGCGGAAGCCCGCTTTACACTCGCAGTGATACGACCCCGGGGTGTTGACGCAGCGCTGCTGGCAGCCGCCGTTATGGACCTGGCACTCGTCGACATCTAGGACAGATAAAGAGAAAGCAGATTAACAGCTGGATGATAACCATTCCACCATTATTGATACAAAAAAGGCAATAATCATTTTCAAAGATTATGGTCTAAAAATAAAAAATAAACACAAACAGCCGCCGGGTGAAAATGTTTCTGTTAATAACCTCAATAGGGGCCGCTAAAAGGAACAGAAGACTCAACTTACTTTGTTATGCAGAAAGTATCATATAAAGCAAATAGCTTTACAAATTCTGTTCACTTCTGCTTCACATTCTGCTGCGATTAGGAAGGCTTAAAGGGTTACTAAAGGAGCTGTTCCCCATAGTTCTCCTTAGGGTAACAGGAGGACACAAACTAGCATCCTCCCGTCACCCTAGACTCAGTATACCGCGAGCTACAGCTCGCGGTATACTGAGACGCCGGAGCGGATCCCGACTAGCTGTACCCGCCCCCTCCCCCATCCGTTCCGCCAGTCAGCGCTGGCAGATCGGAGTGGGGAGGGGAGAATCCAGCCCCTCCCCTGTCACGGCAGAGAGCCATGACAGGATTGAGAGGTGAGCGAACCCGGTATGTGCTCGCTCACCTCCCGATCTACTGAGCCGACCTGTGACAGTCTCATTGTCACAGATCGGCTAGAACTATGAGGTGAGTGAAAAGCACTCACCTCATAGTTCTCCTTTAAAGGAGAATTATGAGGTGAGTGATTTTCCCTCAGCCTCAATCTGAGCCGACCTGTGACAATGAAACTGTCATAGGTCGGCTCAGTAGATCGGGAAGTGGGCGAACACATACCGGCGCTCGCTCACTTCTCGATCCTGTCACTGCAGAGAGCCGTGACAGGGGAGTGACTGGATTCCCCCCTTCCCTGTCCGATCCTCCAGCGCTGACTGGCGGAACGGACAGGGAGGGGGCGGGTACAGCTGGCTCTGCCTCTAGATAGGCAGAGCCAGCTGTCACTCACGCAGCTGGGCGGATCCAGACATAATTGTCGGGATCCGTTTCAGCTGCGGGGTCTCAGTATACAACATTGTACATCAACATTGGGGGGAGGGAAAAAAATATTTGACTTTAATGTTGTTTTAAAGTGTGTGTAAACCTAAATTCACTGTGCGTCATAGATAGGGTGTCGAAATGGAGATAAAAGAGGTTCTGCCATAAATGTTGTTGCTGCATTGCTCCACAGTGCCTGCAGCTAGAGAGGTCAGTAAGGCCACATGTTTTTAAACTTTTTTATAGTGCGTTAAAAATATACAAATATAAACGAAATGTTTATTGATACTGTTACTGTATGCAGTTTTTTTGAACAAATAATGTTTTGTGAATTTAAAGTTTTTTTACCTGAAAGCATGAAAGTTACATTAAAGGACAAAATCCCCCCTCCCCCCCCAATGCTAGTGTAAGGACTTACCTTAAGGGTACGTTCACACCACATGCAGTGCGTTTCCGGTCCGATTATGGCCGAAAAACACACTACATCGCATTGTAGCCTGCTCACTTTTTTGTGGGACGGCCGCAATGCGATCGCCCACACAGGATCGCAAGGAAGATTGTGCCTGCGGTCCGGTCTGGTGCTATCAAAATAGTGCTTGCTCGCAGTAGATATATGCAAAAACCGCTGAGGGTTTAATAACCCTTTAAAGAAAGTATTGGTGTAAATGGGCCCCTTTATAAGAGAGAAATGCAATAGGATAATAGATACCTGGTGACCTAAGGCCTAGTCCAACCTGGCCTTACCACAGATCATGCTTGTTGAAATTACTTTTTTCAGGTTAGGTTCCCTGCTTATCCAAGTACTGATGAGCATTACAATAAGTATTGGTGTAAATGGGCCCCTATATAAGAAAGAAATGGAATAAGATAATAGATACCTGGTGGTCTAAGGCTTAGTCCCACTTGGACATACGACATCCAAGTTCAAAAAAATGGACCCGAAAATGGACGAGGCATGTCAATGGGAACTAGCCCCATTCAAGTCCTGACCTACAAGTCGGTTTCATACTAACTGACCTCTGTAGCTGCAGCCACTGAGGAGCAATTCACTAATAAAATGCATAACATGTCAACGGATTGCAAAACAATGGCCATACAGTCCTACAAGGCGGTATGAAACCAGCCGACCTCTGTAGCTGCAGTCACTGAGGAGCAATTCACTAAAAAAAATGTATAGCATGTCAACGGATTGCACAAAATGTGAACCAGCACCCTTTAAAACAACGGCCATATAGTCCTACAAGTCGGTTTCACACCAACCGACCTCCGTAGCTGCAGTCACTGAGGAGCAATTCAGTAAAAAAAATGTATAACATGTCAATGGATTTCAAAAATGTGAATTAGCCCCATTCAAAACAATGGCCATATAGCCCTACAAGGCAATCACAGTGCGGAATTAGGCAACGCTCGTGGATCTTCTGTTTCATTTCAGTTGATATAAAGCAGTCATAGTCGCAGTTCACGTCATCGAAGTCACAATGTAGAGTCAACTATCTCTTCTGGAGTTTTAGTGTTGAGCGGGATGAGTAGTTGGACGATTCCTCGAAGGCCGTGCGTCTTTTTTGGCCATAGAGCCTCTCCTACGTGCCTGACGGCTGCAGGAAACGTACAGAAAGAACATTCTTCGCCAAGAGGCGGCTACATACGTTTCTGTAAAGCTTTCTCGCACAGGGCGCCTAAAGGCCTAAGGCCGGCCCTGCATACGTTGCATAACTTCCTAATACCCCATCTTGCATCCATTTTCCATGCCTATTATAGATCATATCTGCAGTGCTTCTGGAATGTTCTCAGGGTCACAGGAAGATCACGCTGGACAACCACCAGATGACTTATCGGATGAGTTCAGGATCCCACCGGAGCAAAAATCTAATAGAACACATCCAAAGGCTTTCCAGACCACTATCAGGAAATAGGTGTAGGATGCTACAGAGGTCCCGGCTTGACTTCTGCAGTAAATATTTTACCGGATACAATATCAAGTGGAACTCCAGACAAAAAGGTTTTTATTGCATTGTGTCACTGTGGGGGTATTTTCCAGGCATCACTGGTTCGCTGTGCTTCTCTATGCAATGCAGGCTGGTTGCAGGGGTCGGCAGGGTGCTGTACAGAGCTGAAAACATCACAGCAACCTGCCTCGGTACTCCTCTCAGGAGCCCTCAGCCCTGATACAAACAGTGGGCTGGCTCTAGGGAGGAGTTATGCAAATGTAAAAATTGCTTGATTGGGTGTCCCTAGTCAGGCTGTATTTGCATGGGTACCGCCCACATGTGATGCTGAGCCTCCATGATTGGAAGAGCTGAAATCCAATGAATGAAAGGGGCGGGCCAGGGATAGTCAGGCTGGGAAGGAAAAGACTAGATGATGCTGAATGTCCATGCCTTGTGTCATGTGTTAGCGTACATAGCAATATGCCAGACCGCTTGTTTCGAATGGGCTGCGAACACTCAAAAATGGCCACGCAGCATTTTTCCAATGCAGAACACCACAACGCATTGTAGCTCGTTATTGTGCACTGGGGTGCACTGCAATACATGTGTGTCGGAGCTGCACTGACACGGACAGTGCATTGGGTTGTCCTGCAAAACTAATGCACGCATTGCGTGTTTACTTACATTGCATAACGTGCAAGAATGTGTGCATTACCGCAACTAGACACGTGCAATTCGCTTCTCTCCGAATCAAAATGCGGACACATTTTCTGAAATTCCGACACATCCGAATCTCCTAATCCCAATGCATCCGAATCCCAATTTCCGTTCCCGATTTTCTGATCTCGTCCGAATTTCGTTCAAAAACTAAACTGAATCGGACATGTGACTTCTCTGGCCAATCAGATGTGTTTTTCGGTTTAATGCATCTGAATGGGTCTGAACACAAATTTTAGTTACGGCAACATGGGAGCCATATACAGCATATACATATAATACTAAAGCTGAGGCTCCTAGACCCGAATGGCATTCGGGATCCGAATTTCCAAATTGCATTGGGGAGCTCCTGATTGCCATTCGGGTCTGGGAGCCTCAGCTTTAGTATTAATATCTGTATATGGCTTTCTGTGGTTTTCGCAACGAATATTCGTAAACTCATCCGAAACTAATGGAAATTCGGATTTTGTCCGAATCCCAAACCCGAACCGAATTGAATTTCGGATCCGAATCCCGAAATAACAAAAACATCCGAACCGAAATTTTCCGCAGCTTACATGTCTATCCGCAACGCAGTGAATTGAGGAAATATGTTTCGGCCCTTAAGGTCACACCAGGGCTCCTGCACTTGCTGCTCCTTCACTGACTGTAAGCAAGACATTGCTCCCTCGATGGCGGCTTACACTCCCAGGGAGGGACCAACGCCTCGTTCATAGGCAACAAGTCCCATTGCAAATGACCAGGAGCCAATCCTAGTCCTTGCTGGAGTGATTTACCTTCATGAAAGCATGTCACCAGGACAGGAAGTGAAGAAAACCTCCCCTGCGGGGACACAGGCGACTGATACAGGTTTTAACCCTCTCACACCCTTCTCATGCAGTGTTGGCCAGAGTTGGTTTTAAAGGAGAACTATGGGGTCAGTGTTTTTCCCCATAGTTCTCCTTGGGGTAACGGGAGGACACCAACTAGCGTCCTCCCGTTACCCTAAGCTCAGTATACTGCGAGCTACAGCTCGCGGTATACTGAGACGCCGCACCTGGAGCGGATCCCGACTTAGATGACGGGACCTGCCCAGCTGCGTGAGTGACAGCTGGCTCTGCCTATCTAGAGGCAGAGCCAGCTGTACCCGCCCCCTCCCCCGTCCGTTCCTCCAGTCAGCGCTGGCAGATCGGAGCGGGGAGAGGGTACTCCAGCCCCTCCCCCTGTCACGGCAGAGAGCCGTGACAGGATCGAGAGGTGAGCGAACCTGGTATGTGCTCGCTCACCTCCCGATCTACTGAGCCGACCTGTGACAGTCTCATTGTCACAGGTCGGCTTAGAATTATGAGGTGAGTGGAAATCACTCATCTCATAGTTCTCCTTTAAGCCTTAGGG